TTCAAGACTCCATTATTATATCTGGCCAAAATCCAGACAGCACCATATCTGACATTTTCCCTGATAAATTCAGGAAGAACGAGAAGTTCTGCTCATGATTTCAAGCATGTGATTCCCTTTCTGTAGATCTGCCACATTGCAGACCGATTTTATATTTAAACCATCAGCTGCCGGAGTGCTCACAATGTTCAAAAACATTCTCAATGACATCTAGACATGGCAAGTTTATACAAAGCAATCCTTAAACTCCCTGTGGATATTGGCACTCTCCCCAGGGCCTTTATCGCAGCAGCTCCGCGCTGCCCAGGCGTGATGCGCACAGCCAGGTTCTGCAGCACTGACGGGAGCTTCCAGCTCTTCTCCTCGCTGCTGCGGCCTGCTGTGGTTAGGATAGCACTCCATCCCAAGTCTCCTTCCCTCCCATTCTGGCTATTTTGGGAAAACTCTCTCATACGAGAGATTCCACCGAGCCCCCCTCAAGGTGGTCCATCGCCGGATTAGACCAGTCTCCTCCGGGAGCTCATTCCACAACCAAGAGTGTTTTATTTCCAGCTCTCATGTAAAATATGCATGTGCAATACATGCTGCTGAGCACGCAATAGGTTAAACAAATTGATGATAAAGTATTCTACTTAGTTATTTTTCATTACCATAAGAAAACATCAATTACATTTCCTATTTTATGAGTGCACACAAGGGAATCCATTACAATAACAGAGAGGTTGGATGGCTGGTTTTCCTGCTTCTTTCCTACGCAAAAACAACAGTTAGTTTTAAAGACAATGAAACCAGCCCTGAGAAAAGGAAGGCACACCAGCGTATCTGCGCAGACAGTTCCTATCCTGATTTATCCAGCCTGACTCCAACTAATTAAACATCTGCCTCAACAATTTCCTCTGCAGATTTATCTTCTCCAGTACGAAGCACTGACTGGTTGTTAGAGGCTTTTCCCCAACTTGCAGCCATTCCCCTGCACTTCTTCCAGTTGGTTATTTGGGCACGTGGCAAGAGATGATGCAGTATTCCCATTAACCCCCTGCTGCTGCCTGTTGTGGGACAGGTCACTGGGCTCCCAGTGCATGGCTTCAGTACAACCATGTCCTCTACGAAATGACTTAAGGGCTGCGGTTCTCTCAGCTATAATGCATACAGGTTATTTTACCACCTGCATTTCCTGTTGATTGACTCAAAAATTATTACTTAAGAACGGTCAGTCCATACACCTAAGGCAAAAGCCTTGTGACACTAAGAAAGGAAAACTGCAAGGAATGTGAAATAGTTTGAATAGTTAGCAATGGTTTTATCTAACATAATAACTAAATATGGCCAGGTGCAATCAGAATATTGCTTCCATTTTTTTCATGCCGCTTTCTACGAAACAAAGGTTGTACCCCGCTTCTATCTTCTTCTACTGACCTATATCTTCCTGCAACAAATAATCTTTGTCTTGAAGTTAAATTGCAGTCAAGAGTCTTTATTCAGCTTTAGTCTTCTCAACAAAAGGGATTTTGAAATAAACACACTGATGTTTTTTGCAGGGGTAGTTCACACTACAGCTACACAAATGCCGTGCACAGGCTGAAACAGAACGTGCGGAAAGCCGGGCTCTGGGTGACCCTTCAGCAACAGGAGCTTCCTGTGTCGTTATCGGCCTCGTGCTCGGGGTAGGCAAGGCTCGAGAGCTGCAGGGACGGTAGCGGACCTTTGAAACAAACCTCGCAAACAGAAAACGTCAGAAAGTCATCGACTCACAGAGGTGACCGAGGTGCGTGGATTTTCAGGAACTTGTGACTCAATTGCTTGTTGAAAAATCTACTTGTAAGCTGCAGACTGCTGGCTGAATAAAATAATTAGAGAAAACTAGTCTAGTGTTTCAGCCCTGGTCAGGCTGGAACATACCCTTCCTGACTATACAACAGAAATTCTTCAATTTCTTCCTCACCCACAACAGCCGCCCAAGGATTGCATTTTCCTACAGACATAGTACCAATTTGAAAAATGTCATGTAAGTCAGTGGTGAAAATAGGTCAGAAAGCAATTTCTTATACAAGTACTAGAAAACAGCATAAGCTGTAAACATAATAAATTAATTTGTCCCGTGAAGACTGGTCTGGAGGGACGTTGAAAATGTGCAGAAAAGTTCACAGGCATCTCAGTTTTAGTAAACTATTGCAAAAGCTTTAAATAAACATGTTAAGTCTATTTTTGGTTAGTACTTTTTAAAAATCAGAACAATCAACCTAAAAGGAAGCACTGCTGAATGAGAAGAAATGCTTTTCCTAAATTATGTCTTATCTTTTATTCAGAACTTTGACATCCTAATCCACCGCTTAATAATGACTTGAACTACAATGGCACAGGACCGTACTGTGCTAATAGTCTGATCTTAAATTCCATTTATCTGTGCATCTCCCAATGGAAGCAAGAGGCATATCCACTCCAAATATGAAGAATCTGGTGGCAGATGAATGATGATGACAAAATCTTTTCCTGCTCCCGCTCCAGTCTATCCATGCCCACTGTGGTGGCAGCCTGGGTTCTCCCTGTGCTTTATCCCGTTCCCACCCGCTCTGCTCCCGCAGCCGACGGGGCCGGAAAGGTTTCCCTCGCATCCCTTGGTGCAGACACCTGCAATTTCTGCTGCTTTAAAGATGACAAGCAAGACCCTCCCAAACCCCCCGACCCCCAAGGTCTGCTGACTGATGAATCACAGTTTTGGGTAAGGGAAGTAATTGGTAAGAAGGGCAGTTTTGGATAAGGGAAGATAATTTTAATAAAAACGTTTCATTTGTGATTTACCAATTTAATACATAAATCCCTAATCTGAGAAGCCCCTTCACCCATGTGACAGTGTTACAGGACAATTTCAATAATGTATTATGAGTGCTCACCAACATTTAAAAAATAAACAAAAAAAAAAGTATTTCCTTCATGAAACTCATTAATATGGGAATTCAAGGAGAAACCCTTCCCTTTCTCTAAAGTGATCACTTTTCTTGCAGTGACTCCAATTCATGAAGCTTCCAACTGCAGGTCCTAATTCTGGATGCACCTATACACAAGCTTAAACTGAAATCTGCAACTAACACCCACTATTTCAAGAAATCCAACTACATGTTCAAAAGGAAATATCCCTATAAGTAACCAGAAGGTTTTTAGTCATGACTTCTACTGCGGTTATAACCACAGCAGGGATGATGGTCATATCTTAGAGGTGAGATGTCACATGGATAATTTATAAAAAGCAAATTTGAATGATTTTCTATATAATTAAAAAATCCCCAAATAATACGTACATGCTTATATATCCTGTTACTACTAAGGCTTCTGAGCAGGAGTGCCAAGACAGCAGAAACGAATGTATGAGCTGAAGGAATAAATGACAAGTCCATTCCATTTCTAAACTACTGAGTAAAAGTAACAAAATAAAAGCAAAATCAAATTTCAAATGGACAAAGAGTAAAACATCTGTTACACCAAGGAGGAAAGTAGTTTAAAGACTGAGCTAAGTGAATCCTTTAGCCACCTCCCTTCAGAGAAGAGAAATCTAACCCCAGGAAATAAATAAAAGTCACCCAAAAAGTGAACAAAAGAGGTGTTTGAAAAAAACAGAACACCATTCATCGCAGCTAACGACTTGTTCATTATGAGTGATGATGGATAAAGACTTCTCACGCTGAGATGAAATCAAGATTTATATGCATTGTTTCCTCTCCCAACTTGTGGGAAGATCATCATCATTTAATTCTATCTCTGCGGCCAGTGATGGGCATCCAGAGAGCTGGTTATCAAACGGCGCAGTCAGCTGGCAAAAGCCGAAACGTGCAGTTGGCACATCTGGACGGAGCCGCCACAGCCGAGGGTGAACAATGACTCCTGGCCAGCGGCCAAATTGCTGCAGACGCTGGCGGGTCTCATCTACAACCACCCCTACCACCATCTCTCTCGCTCTCCCCCCCCCCCCCCCCCCCCTTTTTTTTTTTTTTACGAGAATCAGATTTTCATTGCTTCATTCAATTGCTCTCCTCTGCCATTTTTTACAGCTCTTATCGTTCCCTTGGAATATGGCCTTGAGACAGCTCATCCGTGTCCTTCACTGTGTTATCTCTTCTAACTTTTATTAAAACTTCAGCTCTCATCTGAAGATAGCTAATTAAATCCATGACAGATTATACACTCGTTTAAAAACTGCACTGAACTACTTTTTCTAAAGAGAACAGGGTTTATTTTCTTTTCCCATAGTTAAAACTAAGGGTATATAAAGAGGTTTCATTCATTTACAAAGACAAGATCCTTATCTTTACCTAGTATATAGATAGGTTTATATTAAAGTTCCTTTGTTGCGTGACAAGACTCTGTGCAATTTCTCACAGTAATTATTTCTTGTTGCTGGAAAGATCCCTCATCCTTATACTTTTGAAATATATGTATACACACTAACATATATGTGAATGCACATTTAAACCCTGGAAAAGCATTGCTCTAAAATATAAATGCAAGTACCGTAAATTTTCTTTCTTCAAATGTTGGTATGTCTTAACTATAATAGTACTATTTTGACAACATTGCAGAAAGCAAATTTTTCTTTTTCTCTGCAAGTAACGATGAACCCTTTAAATTATTTAAAATCATACTAAGCATCATTTTCTTACATTAATTAAAAGTATACAAATTCTATCAGGGACTGGTCTTACTGTACTTCCACCCATCGTCTCAAATTCCCACTAGCTGGACTTGAATGCAAATGGCTTTGTTATCATAAATAAATATTTGCAGTAATGGATATATAGCTCTGCAGCAAACATTACGCAGCTCCTCCACTGCCTGCTTTTGCCAGTATCTAGAACACAAACCTGCGCACAGAACTGCTTTTGAGTGGTGCTGAAAATCACAATACCCACAGAAAAAAATGGAGCATCTTTCACACCAGTTAAAAAGAGATATAAAATATGCTCATGGAAAAACACCCTACCCTCTAGAAAATACGATAAATAACCCACCTGAGCCTCTCTGTGATCCCTTCCTTCTCTTTAAGGCCTTTTGTAAGATATCCTTCATGGTGACCTTCATACTGTCCACCTGAATAAGTGAGAATCCATGAGCAGCATTTCTGCAAGACAGATGCACATGCATTTTTACAAAATAATCATCATCAGGCACCTCACTGCAATTTTTGTTAGCTTCAAGCAAAGGACTTGTTAGGCACGACAATTAACAAAGTTAAAAGGAGAAACTGAGCAAACTCCCTTAGAAAGGCAGAGACAAAAATGGAGAAAATGGATTGAGATTCAAGGTGTGTAAGGATTTTCCTAATTTATCTTTATTTTTGATCAATTTGTGTTCATCATTAAAAAAGAAAAATGAGCAAATGTACCTGCGGAGCTCCTCAACTGCTCATTATTAAGGATCTGCGAGGCGTTTCGCAGTGCACACAAGAGAAACAGTTTGCAATGTCATTTTCATACATGTCCCGATGGCAGACGGAACAAATCATTAAGGAGAAGCGGAAGAACAACACTCAGAGAAGCAACAGCCGCTTTTCAGCACTATTAACGCACAGGGTTATTTCAAATATAAGTAACGTACTTTCTTTGGACACATTTTTATGAGCAGCACGGCACAGGCTCTCAGGGGAAGGTTTAGGACAGCGGGGTGCTTGTCCTGGCCGTGGCCCGCAGGAGGGTCTACATTGGGGGAAATGCTGCAAACAGCGTGGGGATGGTTGCAGCAGATACCGCCCGCCAAATACTGACAGCGGCATCGCCGGGGAAGCAGAGATGACGACAATATAATAGAAGAGGTACTGGATTAATACATCAGTAAATTTTGCCCTTAGACCTTGCAGTCAATCTCTGCTCGTGTCAGTAGATGTCACTGCAGACAGTTAGCACAGAAATTTGAGAGCTGCTTGGCACCCACCGGGGGAGATTTGCACTGCATGGAAAAAAACCTGTTTTGCAAAGCTATTTAGACAGGAGGAGGAGCTTTTTATCTGGCAACTGAGAATTTTAATCAGGGAGTAGAGCTCTATATGAATATCACAGCTGGAATATTTTTAAAAGCAACTGGCAGTCAAAAGCAATCCAAGCAACACAATTACGTTGTTAAACCCAAGACCATATTACATGTCACTTTAAGGCACAAACGCTGGGAATACAAGCTTGAGTTCAGACCACTTCAGATGTGGCGTCCCTAGCCCACGCTGTGACACGGCCTAGATGAACAACCGACATCTTCAAGCCCTCACCATACATGAACACTCATTCCTGGCCAGAGTGCAGACACGGTGGCCAGCGAACTCCCTGCCTGGGCACGTGCTGGCCACCAGCTTGCTGTCCTGCAGCTCGCTCCGCTCCTCTTGCGGCTATCAGAACAGCGAGCACACACCGCCTGTCCCCTTTCACCCCGCTCACAGCACAGAGCAACCTTATTTCCCCCAGTTAAGCTCTTCAACTCCACATAATCTGCCGAGAGTGGCTGGAAGAGGCTGAAGGGATGGTCATGAAATCCACAACGGGCGGTCATTTCTGCATTACAAAAACCAGAAGTGCCTGCCACGCTCTAAGTATCAGATAGGGCTGTTTTCAGAGCATCCCCCGGCTCCTCACCCCACGGCACGGTCCCACAAGTCACTGGCATAAACCGGCGTTTCCTTCTCATCAACTGTGGGCTGGACTCATCTGAATTTCATTCTCAATTCCCTTTGTTCCTGGTAAAATGAAACTGCCTAAAAGCCCCAAATTTATGTTCTCTAGACCATTTATTATTTATAACTCTATCTTACTCATCTTCAAACCAAATATTCCCAACCTTCTCATGCATCTACTTTTTCCCCTCTCTATTTCTGCCACGTGTTTAATAGAGATGGAGCAGAACTGAGCGTGCTGCTCCACATGAGGGAGTACCATCCATGTCTGCAGTGACGAGGCTGCCATCCTCGGCACAGCCCAAGGACTCAGGGGTTTTGACTATTGCTGTACAGCGAGCACAGACCTTCCTGCACTCTTTACTGGGGAGCAAATCTTCCCTTAAGCTGCCGCGGAGCCCTGCAACGTGCACGAGCACCGCACATCTTGCCTTTGCCCGGCAGCTTCCCAGTCGCTCACCTCACTTCCCAAAGTCATTGCAACTCTGGTCTGAACTGACCTGCTGAGCTAAATTTAGGGGATTTTTTAAAGTGAAAAACCTCTTACACAATTATACTGTAATTACACAATGGAAACTACCTTCGCGCTTTTATTTAAATGACATGATGTTTGTCAATGAAGCACTACATGAAAAGCCTTGCACACTGGACCCAACCATCAGACACCGACTCAATGGACATCTGGTGCCTTCAGGTAACTCATGTAATGCTCTGCAATACTGAAAGAAGGTTTCCAGAGAACTGCAACCAAAATACAGGAAATTAAATTAAAATACTGCAGAAAAATAAAACTAGCAAAGGTGAAGAAAACCTTCCAAAACCTTCTATGACCAAAACAACTGGAGTCACGATTTTATTTTTTTTGGTTTCCTTTAGTACAAAATGTTTTTCAAATGTGTTTCCCCACAAACAAAGTAGGACCTGCAGCCTGCACCACGGATCAGCCCCGCTTCCCGCTGGGCGTGAAGCAATCGACAGCGTCCAACCCAGCTCGGGGCCGCTCACGCCAGCACCCATCCGGAACATCCCGAAAATGGACGACTGTCTGTGGGTTCCTGACGCTTCAGCTGCTCAGGAGCACGTGCTGCTGCTGGTCCCACTCGTGTTTCAGGCCATCCCGACTCGGTCGATTCTTTCTATCGAGCAGCTGGCCTGGGAACTCTCAGACTAATTTTCCTGACACTCTATTACTAACTCCTGCCCGAGCCACGGCCATTCTTTGCCTCAGAAGCTGGATCTCATCCCAGAACAATCTTTAGAAGTTTATTTTACTGATCAAAGCAAAATAAGAAAAACCTCTGTGTTTTACTATATTTAGTGTGCTATCCAGTAAAGCGAGACTTTGGCAAGAGCAGTGAAATGTAAAGCGCACCCCGCATTTGTAAACTTTTGGATATTTGCTCTGGAACAGAGCCAGAGGGTCTGAAACGCCCGTCCAGTTCAGACACACGATTCTCCTCTTCCTTTGCTCCGGCTCGCTCAGTGTGCAGCGCTGGTTTTCTCTAACAATACACCATGGGACCTCAAGAATGACATTTTAGCACTCGCTAAACCCGCAGCCCTGAGCCGAGAGTGGATTTAAGCCCAGACCAAAGAGGTTCTGCCGTCGTCCCAGGGTCAGGCCAGCATGCAGAGCACGCCTCCTGCGCCGCGGAGGAGAAGCCCCGTGTCGTCCCTGGCGTGCTGGAGCGCTGTGGGGTAGGCAGGAGCCGCAGAGCTGCCCTCCGCACTGGATCACCTAAAACATCATCAATCTACCGCAACCCGCCTCCACGTGAAAATGGCACAGCGAGGCTCGTCTGGAAGAAACACACACCCCAGCTCGCCCTGCCAGCTTCCCAGCTATGCCCTGCATTGATAATGTGCACAAACTGTCCTCACTCAACCTAATTCCAGCATATCCTTAATTACGATTATAAATTACATGGTTTAGCTTACTCTCCTAACATGTGATACCTTTATTTTAAGTCAACGCACTAGAAAACAGGACAGACAAGCAGATGCTATTCAATCAATTAAAACTGCTGCTTACAAATTGGAAGCCAAAGAAATTCCTTAGCTTGTATTTTCTGTCATTTTGCAAAAACATACCTGGGTGACAAGGTTAAATCAAGCAAAGGAAATCCCTGGCACTTATCATCCACAGGCATTACTGATAAATTGTGCAGTGGAGGAATAAAGGATTACCTTCTGTATTTTTTCATTACACTTTTCTTTTGTTACAGAATACATAAATCCATTGTGGCACAATGTAATATGTATCATCGTGCTACACCTGTGGACGTTTCATAACGGCTGCCATGTCTGTGCAGTCAGGAATGATAAGTGAACCACCCGTGAATGTTAATGATAGTGATCATTCTGCGGTAACTTGGCTTTCCATCTTCTTTTACAGCCTCAGCACTGGAGCCAGGGTGGCAAGGTTCAGGAGAGGAAAAAGAAAACAACACAAGAGGCGAGAGCTCCGGCGGGCTGACGCCGGGGTGCTGCCAGGGGGGAAGCTGCTCAGAGGCAGCTCAGAAACAAGCAGCGTCTTCGCCACGGGCTCCATTCGTGTGACAAAATAAAACCCCGACACTTAAAGGACATTCTGTTCTTAATGAGAAACAAACTTTTCCAAAAGCTGTCTTTCCGATCTGGACCTTTTTTTGAAAAAAAATAAAAATTTAAATTTTTCCTTTTTTTTTTTTAATTAAATACTGAAGTGGAATTTATAGCACTTAGAGCTTGATGCAAAAAATCGCTGGCATGGTTGAAAGTGTCTGTGAATGACTAATAACAATTTCCACTTGATCAGCACAAAGTCAAAGTTAAGACTAAAAATCCCAGTTGATGCAACGCACTCAACTTAAGCTGGGTAATTTTTAAGATAAAGTGCACAAATGCTATGAACCAGAATAACTATGCCGGCCACGATTTTTATTCTGAGCCTCAATGATCTTGCTTTTGTGCGTCTCAGGTTGGTCCTGGATAACTCTGTGAGCTCCTGAGTTTAACTGGCTCGATTCTGACACTACTATCATTAGACATCTAACAAGCCTGATTCCTTTCTCGTGGTCCTACCCCTCCCTACTCACTACGCCGTGAGCCCTCAACTTTGGCGCCTACATTAACTTTCTTCAATTGCATTTTATGAATACTCTGAAATATACTTTGTAGATTACCCTTTTGGGGAGTGCTTCTGAAATCTAAGTAAAAAAGCACATTTCAAAGCTTTGAACTGAATTTGTATATGTACAATGAAAGCCTGGTATTTTAAAAATGTCTGAAACCTTAATCTATCCGGTATAGCAGAGGTGCTGCTTTGAAAAAGGCACGTATAATAGTCAAAGCAATTTAAACATAATATCAAAACAGGAAAAAAAGTGCTACAGAGCAGAGGAACTGCATGCCAAATTTCATCTGTGTGCCAACTGGCAGCTGAGCTGCAACTCCTAGAAACACCATTAGATCAAGTATGTCAAGTTGTGATAATAAAATTTCCAAGGGAAAAAGCCCTAATGATAGTACAGATTTATTTTAAGCTACCTTCGTTCAGAGTCTTTCAGGTATTACTTCATCATCTGAAGAAGCCTGCATTTACATGAATGCAGCGCTTTGTTTGACTCCTCCTGACAAATCACACCCGACATCAAAGGGGCTGTTTGCGAATGCCATGTTTGACATTGGACAAAGTACTGCTTTCCACAACAGACATTTTCCAAAAACATAACTCGCTAGACTAATGGGCAGTTAGAAGCCAGAATGACTGCCCTCCGTCTTCTCCTTGTGTAACTTTGCCAGAGTCCTTGGAACTTGCCAAATTCGGTCATGCCTGCTTAGCTTGCTCGACTGATTGTGCCAGAAAAGAAAATAAGACACAGATGTATTTGAGCTCTTTGAGATGCCAGTAAGAGAGACAGCTAATGGCTTCATTTCGACCCTCCCCTACCAGCTGGGCACAGGTGGGGGGATAATGAGGTCCCTCTCCCTAATCAAACTCAATTATTTACTACTCTATATAGCCACAACGACATTCACATTCAGCTCAGAATATAAAATGCACTGTGGGCTACTTCCAACCACCGCCACTGGATATTTATAACTAACTCAAGTGGCTAAGAGTTTGCCTTGGCAGGAGTTTAAGTGTATAAAGTTCTGCAAACTGTTTCTGCTCA